TTTATTTTTTAAATAACTTTTTAACAACCCTGTAAAAAGTACTTTTTTACTCATTTTCATTTCAATTACTTTAGGTTGATGAATAAAAAAAAATTGACAATTCAAAGTAGTTGAATGAGAATGCAAGGGAAGAAAAAAAGAGAATTAGTTATAATTAATTTTTTAACGGACCTTAACATTATTCTTATCGATTATTACCTAATTTTTTTGAGTATTTCAATAATTTACGTAGGTTGGTCAAACATTTTTTGAAGAATTAAATCTTATTTCCGCTCTCTAATATAAAAAAATTATTTGATAACATTAAAACATTTAATTATTTTTATTTTAAGCCCTCCAAACTCCCGTCATATGCCTTTATTTTTAAATAAATAAATTTTATTTTTTGAAGATATAATTATTGCCTAAATTGTCAAACTTATAAAGAAATCTAGCTAGCAATATAGATACTCAGTGAATAACCTAGTGATGTCAAACTAAATTTGTTTAAGTATAACAAAAAAGAAACAAACAACCATTAATAATGATTTTACCTATAAAATATTTTAGTTTGCTTTTCCTATAATGTTAACAATACATATTTTTAATAATAATTATAATTAGTTTATCAAGCCTCATATTTAACATTTTTGTTCTTAAAATTAGGTAGTGTAATAATTGCTACATTAAATTAAAATAGGATCATATTTAAATGATTGCTTGACAATTACCTTACTCTATAATGCACACGTTTAAAATTAAATACCCTGTACTTAAAATATAAAATAATACGGCCTTTTGGTTTTAATTTAATAAAATGTTTCCAATACTAAAACAAATTATAAAATAGTTATAACTGACAAGTGTACAAAAATACTTGAGATAAATGAAGTATCAATCAAAGTATATATTTTTTTTAAATTTACTGTATACAAAACAATTTATTTAGTTTTAAATGAATTAAGAACTAATTTAAAAATATTTTAGCTTTTCAGTCAGTTTTGAACTCGATTTTTCTAAGAATTTCGATTCGTAAATTGTTTTATTACAATCTCTGCATCAAAATTACTTTTATGGCTCATAAATACGTATTAACATTTACATTATCAAACATTATTAAGTTATTATTACTTTAATTTAACACCAGGAAGAAATACATCATAATATGAAGTATTTTGATAAATAAATAAAATTATATTATTATTTAACAAAAAAACATTTTTGCTTCATAGAATGCCCTTGATTCATTATTGAGCAATTAGAGTCAACATTTCAAAATATTTTATAAATAAGGAAATGCTGTTTACCTATGAATGATACTTAACTCGCCATTTTTTGTATCAGCTTCCAATCTTTAAAACAGAATTAAAAACTTATTGTGAACAGCACCATTAGCTAGAACAATCAAGTGGTGGGCTAATGTGAACTCTAATTTAGATTGATAGACGTAGAAAGTTTTAATGGAATAATATGACGAAGAAGAAACCGTAACAAACATAAACATACTTAGAACAATGTTGATTTATAGTTAATGACCTTCTGCTTTCTTTATTCAATCGGTACCGTAGTATCAGATGGCTACTTACATCTTGTACGATTACATTAATCATAAATCTCTTAACTAGATACATGCATTTCAATCGCTATATAGAGTAAAACAGATTTAGCTAACAAATCTTATAACTTTTCATCTACTTATATTTATTACTTTTTCTTTTTTAATCAATAATTACACACTAGCAATATATTCTAAATTTTTTTTTTCTATTAAATACAAAAATTAAAAAAAAAATTTATTTTAATTTTTTTTGGATATTTTAAGACAATTATTTTATAGATTAGTTAAAAAAAAAAATTTTATTTTCAAACTCTCAGTTAAATTTAGCTACTAAATTACTATAGCTTTTTAAAATATGAATTTTTTTATAGTATCAAACCGTGGTTTACTTTATTTAAAAAAAAGATTAATGACGGCACTATCTTTACTATTTAATGCCAGTAATATGTGGATTTTTCCATGAGTATTATTAATATTTGAATAAGTACTTGTTATTATAGTATAAAACTATAAGATGTAAAATTAAAAATATTTAACTCAAAAAGCGACAAAAAACTAAAATATAAATACAGTATACGTATTTCAGGAACAATATTACTGAGTGATACACAATAACCTGACCGAAAAATACACAATTATATACCCACAATACCTTATCACCTATTGACGTTATAACTTAGTAATGTTATCGTATTTTACGAGTTTATACAAGATAATAAAATATAAGTTTAATTTAAATAAATATTTTTTAACTTCATATAATATTAGCCACAAGTTAATTAAAGGTTAATTTTTATTATATCGCAACATTATAAAATGTCAACAAATTAAAAAAAAAAAATTAAATGACTTAATTTTTTCTCATTATTAGTAGTAGGGATAAATTTACAAACGAATAATAAAATGTAATCATAATAATATATCTGAATGATTATATTACTACAGATTTATACATAGATGCAAATTGGGAGGACTTGACGGGGATTAGCCCTTCCAAAATTTTAGAAATACTCTATTTATTAAAACAATTTTAAGGGGGTGGAGAAAGTAGATATAATAAGCCCCTCTAAATAGTTTGTTTAAATTGCTCTCATGAACATAAAAACGAAGAGACTAGGAACAAGACCTTTTACGTATATTATTTTGAAGCCAATATGTATTGCTTCACTTGTTTATTTTGTATTAATTCTATTTAATAAAATTAAAAAATTATACATAACACATCGTAAAATTGTAAGATAACACATAAAATATCATTAGTAAATCCACTTTTATATAAAGTCCTATTAGCTTCATGAAGTATCACTCGTTCCTAATTTCTATGGATTTTACAACAGTAATATGATAACTATTATTAAAGCAAGAGATTAAATAAGTGTTATCAATTTTTTTATTCAATGAACCATTAATTATTATTACGCTGTTAACATAAGAAAACATTTATACCATTTTTTTCAAATGGTCATCATTTAAACAATAGGTATTCATTACACCATTGATGATTTTCATGGAAAAAAGCCAATGGAATATTAAATATTCGTAAATAGTATAATAATATAAAGTTACTTCAATCCTTTTTTTACAACTGTTTCAAAATCTATTTTTATATTATAAAAAAATCATGAAAAAACTCAAGTTTTCATAAACTTTAGAAAGTTGGATCAATTTAACAGCTGAGCTAAAATAAGAATTTGTAGTACCAAAATTGTTTTTAAAAATAAATCTATTACATGATTATCTTGAAATATCCATAAAAACTTTAAATGAAAAAATAATAATAATTTTAAAAAGTAGTCCAAGTTTGTTGAATTAGAATTTAAAAAAATTGAAAAATGTAAGTAAATTAAAAGTTATAAGAGTTGTTAAATAGATCTGATCTACCCTGTATATGTACTACTCGTGTTTATGATCCAAACAATTCAAATGCACATGTTGCCGTAACTAAGTGCTCTGCTACCTTATCGATCACTTTCACTGTTGTTGCTTTCACCCGCTACTGTATAGAATATTACAGCTCTGCAGGCCTCGAAAATTCCCTACGACACTATCATTTCCTCGTGGTTTCCTAAAACACAATTGGGTAGACCAAATCACAAGACCACTAAAACAGTCATAATGTCTCATAATGAATAACCGCAAGAGTGCACACAACATCGTCTAATTTGTACAGCGATGGATAAGAATTTTATCATAAATTTGCATGTATAATTAATCTCGAACGATTTCAAGAGATGACACTTTATAGTCGATCTCCATCTGTTTTAATACTTGGAAAAAAACTACACATATGAAGTGGCTATCTACCGGCGTCGAAATGACTTCCGATAACATACCTATAAAACGTTACGTCTGGTAAGTGCTCAATTAAAAAACTAAAGAAAAAATTGCCGACTGAAAAAAATTGTACGCAGACTCAACCGTAACGTCTAAAGTAATTGTACAATTTCACGGGCAAACTATAGAAGAACAGGATATGCTTCATATAGAATTTATTTAGCTTAATTTACGTTGTTTATCATAACAAATCAAACCGGAAATTAAAAAAAAATAATTAAATGTACACATTCAGGGGGTAAAGAGTTCCATTACCTTGGAAGTCGCTGAAATATGAAGCAATATAAATTATGGAATTGAAACCTTTTAAAAAATAAAATAGAGAATAATTTTTTTGATCAACAAAATAATAAGGACATTGGGGCAGCAGAATTGAGTACCCCGAGAGGCACATTCCTAAATGCGGCCCTATTTCTCGTGTATATTTTTAAAAGTGTAGTAACAAACGACCATCAACAACGCACAAGCACGTTCTCCGTCTATTTCATAGTTTTGAGTCTTTTTTCGCAAACTCAAGGATATTGGACGATTCGACCTTGTGCCTAAATAGAATCGTTTTAACGTAATATTAATGTATTTAAAGTAGAGAAAACTGTCGAATTTCAGGTCAACATCTTTACTATTCTCGGCCGACTGTAGCACGAGGACGGATGATGGACTCGTTCATTGACTTGTGCGCTGAATTTAAAATAAAAGATCACATTTACAATGTGTATCAACCGCTTTTGTTGTGTACGACAAGGTCGGACTCTGAAAACGCCCTGCTCGACCACGACACCCTATCGACAGCCTGTAAAGCGACGTCTGATCTGTATTATACAACATTATCATTGTTATTTGCGCTTTTTTTTTTAATATGTCTCTTAAATGATATATCGAGTATAGAATCGTGCAAATAGGCGCAGTACCTGATGCAGCCCTGGACAGCTTAAAGCTTTCTGGTTGGGCGTAGTCCGGATTAAAAAAATCACGTAGACGGGATAAATACACATCGGTAAATGGTAAACGTGGATTTGTGTGCGTATGTCAGTGCATTTTTCAATTATTTTTTCCCAAACCTCCATGACAAGAATACTCAAGTGGGGCTGAGACCGCTGGGTAGGACGGCCATATAAAACAAGAGGCGAGCACCGGCCGCTCACCAGTGCCGATCATCATCATTATCGCCGCGAAAGTGAACTCGATTTTTTTATAATTAAAAAAAATAAAACAATAGTATATTTTCTTTTCGAGTGCAGCATATTACATTTAATATACAACTGAAAGATACAGATTGAAAATGTTCTATCTAATTGCTTCGATTTTCCTACTGACGTATCAAGGTAAACACTAATTATTATTGTGGCTAATATTATTTTGTCCATTGATGCTCGTTTTTACCCGAACATTCAATAGCTTGTTTTGAAAAAACTAATAGTCAAATATAACTGTAAATTCGATCTTATATACTGTGTATTTTTTATTGATAATGCAACAACTGCAATTTTGCATATGACTGTAAACGCAATTTACCTTAATTTACTTTGGTTTCCTGAATAGAGTGCACATGCTTATGTAACGATTTGCCATTACCGCGGTACATTGTGATCGTCCTCAAATCTAAGTTTAATGCAGTTATATCATTAAATATACATAACATATTTTTATTGTACAGACTAATATGTAAAACAGTTTTTATACGAGGTGAGAAATGTGTTATAATCAACCGACACGTCCGTAAGTGTCGTCTGTTTATAATGGGAAAAGTGAAATTTCTTCTAATAGGAAATTCGTTGTAAACGGATTAATTATTTCTTCTACACACCTCTTGTTATACGGCTCAAGAAAATATCATGTCATAAATATGTATACAATAAATTTACCATCACCTATATTTATAACCATTATGTCATACAGCTCACCTTCCGGCCTCCTTGTACAAACAGGTTATACACGTCGTAGTAAGTTATCGTACAAAAACGACTGAAATACGAACAGCAGACTAGCCGGCTACACCAAGAAGGCCATNAATACGAACAGCAGACTGGCCGGCTACACCAAGAAGGCCACTGAGTTGTGAATACATTATAAATTATAAGGCCGGAAGAAGCATTCGTGTGCTAGTCTGTCGAGGGTGTGGTCGACGAAAGTAATAGGTAAACAGATACCCACATGGTAATAGCCAGCATTAGAGAGGAGAGTGAGAAAGATCTAGTCTAACCGATTCTTCTGCGACCGGAATACTTCGGTTATATAACCTCTCGAGGAGACTTTTTCGAATGACTTGCACGCCGTACCCTTTTTTCACCTTTACCCCATCATACCAAACACACCTAAATAATAAAAATTGTTTTCATGGCGACTTCCCACCTTTATACAAATTAGTTCCTTTTCACAAGATTTAACTCGAATCAAAATCATAAAAGATAACTCTTCTAACATACCGAACTATTTTGGACGTGTAATGAAGACATTGTATTCACTTAACGCCTAGCAAGAATGTACTCAACAAGAATGTAACGCGACTAGATTTTGTTTTGCACCCATCGAGTCCGCCATCGTAATATGGCATTTATAAAAACAACAAAACTCGTTTGCTTTCTACCGCAATAGTCGGTTGGGCCTGGTCCGGTTTTGTATAGTACAATAATGATTCCAGGCGCGCTTTGTCCATCCATCAACATAAGACATTATGATACACGGGGTTAGAGCAGCGGCTGACAGCCGTTATGCAATGCGTCTTATGCGCCTGATCGGTCGTGTGTGTTGTGTTAAGCCGATGGCAGGCACGCACGGCCGGGATGGCGGCCGGTTGCGACACCGGTGAAATAATTATTATTTTTGAATAAACACAACTCGGTTGTCGTTATAACCGCGAGAATTGATAACCGTAAAATAAATTAATTACCCGAGAGCCTATTAATAAAGGTGTTATGCGCTCAAACCAACCGGCCTCCAAGCGATAGAAAACAATTTGTTATTTAAGCCAACTGCAAAAAGTTGTCGGAGATATTCGCTACAAACGCACTAGTGACCCGGTCACTCGACGGTCGATGGTCCTGCCGGTTTCCGAAATGCGCAACACCTGCCACTGACAGTTACATATGAAAACTCACACAAACGCAACTTGTTGTTTTCACTGGACATGTCACAATTTTTGACCCAGAAAAATGGTCATTAATAAATGCGCGTGCGTCTTATAAATGATTTAGTAACATCTCTGTCGCTATTTTTCCATATTTGGAGGCCGATATGATGTCACTTATACTGCTACGTCGAGTATTACAACACTCCAGGTCAATCAATAGTAGTTAGTTGTGTTTAATTTAATCTATTTTTTATTGATACTGGTTCGACAATAATAAGTCAACTTTACTTGATTTATAAAAAATTAAATGACGCTTTAATATGATATTTTACACACAAACTAGTTTTTAATTAAGTATCACTTCCATAAAGATTTAAATGAATTACACGAAACAAAAAACCGATAGACAATCCATTGGCAACAAAAATCTAGTACAATAAAAAAATAAAAATAATTACACAACGTCTAAGACCGCTACCGCGTGCGCGTATTATAATTTTATTATGAATACCGTTGCATAAGGTAGTCGGGGAATCGCACAATGAGGTATCCTCAAGGTCTTAAGTAAAATAATAGTCATCGATCGATTTTGATCTTATAATCTTATTATTGTTTTAGTTCACGGCCAGAAGGAAGAGTTCAAATGCCCAGACGAATACGGTTTTTACCCACACTCGATATCATGCGACAAATACTGGAAATGTGACAACAATGTTGCCGAGCTTAAGACTTGCGGTAACGGATTGGCATTCGATGACACCGACCCCAAATACTTGAAAGAAAACTGTGATTACTTGCACAATGTAGACTGTGGTGCTAGAACACAATTAGGTACGTTGATCCGCCTTATTTGACAATAAAGTTGATGAAATTATAATCTTTTACGTTAAATTCGCGAATTTCTTCATCCAAGTCTACTAAACGTTCTCTGAGCTCAGTTTCCAACTGAGCTGTGTACATTTCTACGTTCTCTCTATTGTAAGCATCTTAACTTACAAGAGAGAATGTTTAATGTAACACTGAAAAAACTACCAATTTTTACTGAAAAAATTAATCCGTCTAATTTAATTTTGTTTACAAATAGAACCTGCCATTAGCACACCTCACTGTCCTAGATTGTACGGTATCTTCCCCGACGATGTCAAGTGTGATACTTTCTGGAATTGTTGGGGGGGTGAAGCGAGCAGATACCAATGTTCTCCCGGCCTAGCATACGACCGTGAATCCAGAGTATGTATGTGGGCTGATCAAGTACCTGAATGTAAAGTTGAAGGTAAGACACGTATCACTAATTAAATAATTCAAAGCAAAACATTGTTTATCGCATAATTTATATCGAATAAGTTTTATGCTTCCTTAAGTTAATTAAAAAACTTTAAACGTTAATATTTTTCTTGTAGAAGTAGCCAACGGTTTTAACTGTCCCGCCGCTGGTGAAGTATCCAGCTCCGTAGGATCCTTCAGTAGACACGCACATCCAGATGACTGCAGAAAGTACTACATCTGTTTGGAAGGAACCCCAAGAGAATATGGATGTCCAATTGGTACAGTCTTTAAAATCGGCGAATCTGATGGCAGCGGAAACTGTGAAAACCCAGAGGATGTTCCTGGATGGTAAGCATATAATATAATTTTTTTTTTTTTATTCACTTGATTTTATTTTTTGATGTCTAACCAAACGTGTACTCTATAATAGTAGACTACAGATGTTAACATAACATTAACTGTAATAAATACTTTGCATGGAATAGGTATTATAATGGTTATAAGGGGGTGAGGAACGTGAGCATGAGTCACATCGCAATACATTAATACACAAAACAACACTTATTTTTATATTTTCTAACAATACATCTTCTAACTTAAATACGACTCAAATTAATACTAAAAAAATATTATAAAAATGCATATAATATTTCTAATCTGGTTTAAATTATCGAAACGGAACATAATGAAAGTCTTTTTTGTTATAATTTCAAATAAAATTATTTAATTAAACGTTATAATTAACGTGAAAAATATGTTAAGAAGAAAAGCTACAGGCTACTGGCTTAAATTACTGTATAAGAAAATATTGATAATTTAAAGATTTGCAATTTAAACTATTATCTTTCCTGAAGCATAACTAATGGCGAATATGAACACTCATAAATATATAATTTTTTTTTATTTCAATACTAATGATAAACTACAGGAAAATGCTAAACCGCAATGGTGAAAGTGCTACAAAAATAGATTCGTCACTGAATATATTTCATATTTAATATACACATAAATTCATATTGCGATTAATAGGTTGAAAAAATATGATTCAATCATTTTTAACAATATTTTAAACAACATATAAAAATTGTTACTTTATTGAAAACTTTTCCGATTACTCTTATGAATTAATTAAATAATAAAACAAACAATTATTATTATATAAAATATATTTTTCTTGTTAATTTAAGGAAAAGTATATAATTTCAAAGACTATTCGAAATGTGCTATTGACAATTTCATCAAACACACAAAAATAATATTTTATATAACACTAATTATTATATAACTATTATTAATAAACTATTCAGAAATTAAAAACAATTGTAATATTGTATAAATTAATTTTCGGCCAATCATTCAGGCTTTACGCTCTATAAAGTATTATGTAACTACTTATAATTTATTGAAAACTTAAGTTATATGGTACACATAATATTTTATATTTTAAATAATTTAACTCTCTATAATAATGCCAATATTGATACCAAATATTATGACAATATTATAACGAGTGAACAATGAAAAAACAAATTCCTAAACTATGTGTAGTGAGGATTACTATGGAGACTTGGACTTGAAGGCAATTAGAAAGAGTGAGCTGTTATCAGGATTAGAAGGAAATGCCAAGCCTAAATCACCCGAACCAGCAGCTCCAGTACCAAAAGTCACCAAGCCACAGCCCCAAAGAACTGCACAACAGGCAAGACCTCAGCCAGTAGCTCAACAACAGCAACAACAACAAAGGCCACAACAAATAGCTTCACAGTCAAAAGACTACGAAGAGGCTTAAATAACAGTATTGAGCATAGCTCAGTAGCTACACAAGACTAATAACAAAATTTAAGGAAGTTTTTTTTATTTTGAATTATGTGAGCACTGTTTTGATTTATTCACAACCCCAAAGTATATATTCTTGTAATTAACTTAATGATAAACAAATAGGTTTTATTTTATTTAATTATCAGAGTTCACATAATTCAAAACAATATTTTATTATTTTTACATTTTGTTTCCTTATTTTCCTTTTTTAATCAATTGTGGTTAAAGTTTTATGACCAAAACTATTATGTTATTTTACATTTTAATAATAGAAACTTACAGACATTACTTATAAACATGTTTACAACTAAATATTTTTGTAATTTACTTGTAAACTCAAAAAATCAAATGTAAACTTCCTATCTATTTTGATTTGAAATATTTCATTTTTTATTTTTTCTAATTATTATTTGTATAATACAAACCCTTATCATCTAAAAAATAAATTATAGATGAACATAATATTTGTATATTACTTACTATTTTTATGCAGCAAATGTATGTACAAAAATTTAAACATTCTATAATTTTATATGTATCTATCGTAATGAAATTTACGTGTTATTAGGAATAATTAATCGTTTTTTATATTATATAATTAAAGTAGTTATTGTCTTAATAATTATGTTTTTTATTTTAAATACCTAGTGTTACAATAACATTGAAATAAGACTAAATTAATGGATTTGGTAAATGCACGTTACTGGGTAATTAAAATGTTTTCATGTCGTAATGCATGCCTTTCTTTAATTTTTTTGCTAATCTAAAAAAGATTAACTCAGATATCACACAAAATAAAATTTAATTTTGATCTGTTATCCTAAAAGGAAAATTATGAAAGATTGATGTTATATTATGAATGAAATAATCAATTCCCCAAAACAAACTTTTAAAAGGTAAAAAATAAAAAATAAACTTTAAGTAACACGGTAAAAAAATATATCAATACATTAACGGAAATTATTAAATTAGACGTTTATAAAAACAAAGTGAATGTAAAATTATAGACAATAATATTAATTTTACGTTTATATGTAAAATACTAAAAACTATCTTTGATTAATACTTTATCAACTCTTAACGGAATTAATTATAAGTCAGAAATAATTCTTATATTTTGTATTATGCATTCATGAATGTTCATAATTAAAGTGTATTTAATGTGAATTTAAATTAAATATTACAAAAGGAGTTATTTTCCGAGCGGGAATATTATAAACAAAAAAAGTAATAATTTTTAATTGATTGATTTATTAAAGTGCTACGTGTGATAGAGAAGGATAAAATATAAATTGTAGGTGAGCGAGCAAACATTTTTTTTTTTTTTTGATATTTTTAAAATATTAAGCTGCCACTCTCCCAAAAAAACAAAATTGATATTACTGTTCGATTTAAAAAAAAAAAACTTTCTTTTATTAAATTATTTAAGTTGATAACAAATTTAGATGGGGAATTGAACACTTTTCAATTATTTAAAAACTATTTTTTTTAATGATTAAAGATTCACTTAAAGATCTCTTTTTTTCCGAATTCTCAAAATATTGTTCTATAATGACTGTAAAAACTAAATACCTTAATTTGAAATGTTGGTCTAATTCAAACTGTATTAACTTCAAACTTATCGAGCAAATCGTGTACTAATGATTAATTCGGCAACCTCCATGTAAAGAGGAATTAACTAGTTAACTAATCATATCCCAATTTTCAAAAAAAAATTAACTTAATTCCTTTTACACGTAGACTAATAAATAATTAACAATTATTTTTGAAAAATAGAATAACATTCATTAAAATGAATATTTGTTTTAACATCACATGAATAATAAATCAGTATCCATTGCTACAACCTGGTATATCCACTTTTAGAAATTAACAAAAGTAACAATTTTCTGAAATATCATTATTTATTTATCTACACCAATAGTAATATAATTTTTCTTAGATATTTCCATAAATAATCTATGCATAAAATCAATTTTTATAATGAAATATTCAAAAAATAATTTTTATTAAAAACTAAAAAAAGATTTTTTTTTTTTAAATACTTACCAGGCTGTTGTACTAGACCATTCAAACGAACTGAAAATATTAAACACAATATTCACTAATAAGGATAAAAATTAATAAATTTTTTGTATTATTTATTTAGTGAAGACTACTACGGAGATGTAGATTTAAAAACATTGCGAAAACTGGGATACAGACGATGATTAAATATCAGAAATTAGTTTTTTCTGTACCAAAGAAAATATTAAGTATTGGATGCCAAATATGTGAAAATATAAAAAAATTTAAATGACTTGCCAATTACATACAAAATAATTAAATACTATGTTTTATTTGTTAAATGTTTTGATCGGATAACATAAGTTTATGAATATACAAAATAAGACAATTAATTTTGAAACAATAATATTTATGACTAGAATGTATAAGTTTTAAAAACTTATAAATATATAATTTATACATGTATATAAATATACAAAGAAATATTGGTATCTTAATTTAACAATTTAAACAGTTATTAATTGAAAGCAAAAAGAATATTTTTTAAATCACAGTAGGATAAATTAAATTAAACGAATAAAAAAAAATTACACGAGACATTTCGGTGTCAAACCGTGACTAGTCACAAAAAATTTAATAATAATTTGAGCAAATAATGAAAAAACAGAACACAAATTATTTTTTATACATGTTACTAATAAGTAGCAAAACAAATAATAATAGCAACATTTAATTACTTTTACTTTATAAAGAATTTTGAAGCTCAAATCAATAAAGTATCAATATATTGTATATTTAAATTTCACTATTATGCTCTTTTTTTTACTTCTTACTTTCTTAATAATAATATTAAATGAAGTTATCCTGAACATTTACTGGTTAAAAGAAAAGTAAGGAACTGGTTACCAGTTAAATATTCTTTTCTTTTGTACAAACAAAATACATTGTAATATAATTTATGTTGTAGCATAATTAGAATTTTATGACTGAAAGTTAACATGAACAACTGTTCAACACATAAAATAATTAATTTTGCATAAAGTAAAAAAAATATGACACAAATAATTATTAATTTAGTCTTATAAATATAATTATTTAACTATTGCTTTGTATAATTTAATACATAAATTGTCTTTTTAATTGCTAACTTAAATCCAAAGATTTAAAATTATTTAAGTTAATTTCCTTAAACAAAATTGTTCACTCAGTTTTTGGGACAGGTTCTTTACGCCTCTGTCCACACAGTAACTGTCATATATCATTAAACTGACATACAACTCGTCGTCTTGGTTGGGGTGTATATCTACGATCTTTTTCTTCCAACTTTGGTTGTCCAAATAATCGTTGTTGATAAAATGCATGCAATGGAGATGATCCACTCTCTGATAACCGCCTAGGTGGGGGAGTTGGTGGCACGGGTGATACATATCTCCTAGACACGACTGGAGAACCATCAAATGCCTTACGTGCTGGTGCTGGAGAAGGTGGACATATTTCATGCTTTGGAACTAAGGGAGATGATGTACCAGAAGACAAACCTTGATTTCGAACTGGTAGACTAGGAGTTTTACTCCAAGGAGCAAATTTGAGGTAGGCTGATATAAGACTCTTCCTAGGACTTGGTTTTGGAGAGCCAGGAGGATTGGTTTCTACAGGAGTACTTCGTTCAAAACGATTAGGGGAGACTGAAGATGATCTAAAGCAATTAAAAACTTATGAGTAACTAAAAACAAATTATTTAGGTCACTTATTTTACCTAGAATGATGCTGATTTTGTTGATGATAAAATCTTTGTAATAATAATGGGCTAGTATTAGCAGAAATATTACCATTTGTCAGTTGTTTATAAGGAGAAAGCAAAACTGAAGGAGGTACCTCTGTACTCGGAAAACGTTTGATAGATTTAGGAGATTCAGTTACCACATTCCTAGAAAATTAAAATTAAAAGATAATTTAATACAGTTATAATTTCAATTACTCATGACTTACCCATTAGCCTTATTTTTATCTATTAAACTTAATTGTGGAAGTTGATAATCAGACATCTTACGAATACATGATGGAATAGTTTCTACTACAATGGGGTTTTCTAACCTATAATAAGTTTAAACTCTCCATTAATAAATAATCATATCAACAATAATTTTTATGATAATATTCAATTAAATCATACTTAGGTGTACAGCTTTGTTTTATTGCATTAGCATACCAATTAGCAACATTTACAGACTTATCAACATATCTTAATAGAAAAGGATGTTCTAACAGCTGTTTGTACTTTGGTCTCACTTTATAATCTTTGATTAAACTAAAATTAAATAATATGATGGTAAAATAAATTTAATAATAGACCTAAACATTCAGAAATTTAATACAAATAAAAAACAAAGTTTATTGTGTTTTAGATTATATAAATATTATAAAAAACATGTTCATAACAGTAATTTAACTTAAATTTTTTATAATAATATATAATTAAAAAAAATTATTTACTTATTTATAATTTTGTTTGTAAGCAAATTTATTAATTTTAATTCATAAATTACATATTATTATGAATAAAATTGTGAAATTTTAATATTAGCTTTGATGCGAAACGGAGAAGGCATTAATTTTACTATGATGTTTTTTTTTTTTTTTTTATATGTCTGTTGCCACTTTTTCTCAACTCTCACTGGACCGATTTCTTTCAAAAATACGTCAAAAGATCACAAATTGTATCTAGTAGAAGACATTACCCTTAAAAATTGAAAAAAAATTCCCTCGTTTCCCGCAAATGAGGGAAATATCAAAAAAAATTACAAATTTAAAAATCGCTAATTTTCGAAATTTTTTCACTTTTTTTTCTTAAAACTTCCATAACTTTTTGAAAAATCAACAAATCAACATAATTTTTTTTTATACTAAAACCTTAGATATTTACCTTTCATTTGATATCATTTTTTTGAAAATCTAACACTTAACCTGCTCATTGGGGGGGATTTAAAATAGCAACTTTTTTACAAAAACTAACTTTTTCAACTTAATTTTTGAAAATGTTCCGGAAATACTGCGTCCTTTAAACATATATCAAATTAAAGCTTATTTAATGTACTACAAAATGAAAAAAAAAATTTGTCCCGACGACCTATCTTCTATACGCAAATGGCTACCGTATTCAATAATATACTATTTTTGTATGATAATTATGGGTTTTGTATTTTATTTTAATAGAAGTTGATGTTGCTTTTGCAATTATCCATCAATTTTTTAAAATGAAACACTATCTACAGATTTGCATCGAAGCGTTTCTTATGATAGTGATTTTAATCACTGTCAGATTAAATCTATACTGGACCCAACTATGCAATGTCTCTACTATGCCGCGACCCCACTGTGCTACCGTTTTTTTTTATTATTTTTAAATTTTGTTTTTAAATAATTCATTTTTTTTTTTTAATTAAATTTTTATGTGAAAAGTTTAATATTTTCGCAATAAAATTAAGTGTCATTTCTTTGACCCAATACTTGCCTAACTTGCAAAATTGGTATTAAGATATAAAAATTCATAATTTTACACTACATCAAAATTACACTATTTATTTTACTTAGAAAATAATGCCAACATTTAATATGCATAAAAGTGTAAACTTTTAAAACAAAAACTCAATAAACATTTTTAAACAACATAACATATTACTTACCAACTAGAAACAAAATTTCGAAATTCTATTGTAAATTCTTGATCTTGTGGAAGTGATGGAGGATCATCATTCAAAACTCTACTTAATACTTCAAAATCACATTTACAATCACGATAAGGAAATACACCGGTAGCCAACTCAACTAATGTTATACCTAAACTCCATATATCAGCACGTATATCATAATCCAATTGTCTTGGTTCAATTCTCTCAGGCTATAAAAATAGATTTAAATTATAAATTATAATAATCTATTAATGTTTCAATACATACAGCCATGTATGCAGCACAACCAGCATTTTTAGTACGAGCTTTTGAGTCAACTAATCTTCCTGATATACCAAAATCACACAATTTTACATTTCCTTTTTCATCAAGTAAGATATTTGATGGTTTTACATCTCTATGTATGACATCATGAGACTCTTTTAAATAGCTTAATGCTTTAACAGTCTATAAATTAAACAATACTAGTAATTTGTTTAAATATGCTAATTTATCAAAATTTTACTTACATTAAGAGCAACCTTTCCAAGTACATTCTCAGGAATAGGTGCTTTAAGTTTTCTTAATAAACGATCAAAACAAGTAGCCATAAGTTCCATGCAAATACATACATCTGATTCAGTAATGAATGCACCTAAGCATTTAACAATGTAAGGACAATCATGTGATTTCAGTACAACCTCAAGATCAGTAGTAATACGTTTATTCTCTTCGCTATTTCCTGATCTTCTCATTTGCTGTAAGGTATGAAAAATGATGAATATCACAATAAGTTAATTAAACCATTTTCAATTGGATACATTTGTATATTATTTCTAATTATATTATTTAATATATAGATAGAGACTTACTTTAACTGCTATTTCTGTATTACTAGGTTTGTGTAACATCCTAACAACATGACCACAAGTACCACTTCCTAACTCTCCAAGATGCTCTAAATCCTTTAATTCTGTTTTGTATTTCTGTTAGATATGAATAACAAGATTAATTTTTTTTACTTTTACATACATTAAACAGAGTATCCTGTATCGATGTTCTTACAAATCTGCACATCATTCTTATAGCAAATTGTCAGAACATCGTAGGACACCATATATTTTAACATACAATGCCATTAATTGTGAGAAGTCCACTCATTTTCATAATTTGTTTCATTTTAACTTCAACTTCTGTAGTATCTTCAACTTTTGGTTGCATTAACACACTTACAGGTAAATCAATATGTTTTCGAGTTCGAGTTGGAGTTCCCATATCACCAACTAAGAGAAATATTAAATCAAGGTCAAACAAGTTATATAAAATATTTTTAAAATTCAACTTACGTTGCTTGGGTCGTCGACCAGAACCTTGCCTAGGGCTAGATAATGATGGAGAAATGTTATTTTCTTCGACGGATTCATTTTCTGCCTTTAACCTAGCCTGTAGGTTTAAAATTTTGTTCTCGAGAAAAGAAGTAGTCATTTTATATACTACTTAAGATTTTTTAACGTCCGTATTAAGTATTAAAACTCCCGTCAATTAAGAATTCATATGAATTCATGGTACAACTTAGATTATTTTTACACACTACTTCAGGGAAAACTTTTATTTCACTATTTTAATGATAGTGATTATTTTTATTGGCAAAAAATTGTACATTTACTCTTATCACAATTCACAAATAATTATATTTTACAGTATAGCCAAATAAATATATACACAAAATCGATAAAACATCAGTGTGTCCATTGAGCCTGAAATACGCAGCCGGGTAAGTGGTGATGATAATACACGTACACCAATGATAACTTGAAAAAACAAAGATAATTTTACCACTACATACTTATACAAAGTCATTAGCTGTGGTGTGGCGTATTTTTTGTTAGGTATGTGCTTAGATTTTATTACGTTTTCTTTTTAAAGTGCTCAGTCAGTTTTCTCATCTAAATTTTACAATAAATGAGTATTTTCTTTTAGTTTATTTTTATCTATAGTATTATTAAGTCACATTCCTATTTCATTTTTATGGTAATTTAGAATTTATTGTAACATTAATAAAACAAATGAAATATTATATTACTTTTTGTACTACAGGTATCTTCTTTTTTTCCCAAAGGCTAACCTTTGTCATAGCGAAAAAATAGACTTCCACTTATCACTTGTTAATGCTACACTTCTTCATATGTGAATACTCGTTGTGTCCAGCCATTCCAATCATCTCTACTATAAATACCTTCCTCTTCCATTTTGTCCATTGATACTTCTTTCCATTATGTTGGTTATGAAAAATTTATGTCACATTAAGTGTCTATAAGTTTTCTGCATCTTGATCTAATGATAAATAGCTATACTCTTCTCCTCTATTATTTGTAGAATTTTTTCATTATCTTCCTTTTAGTACAACTAATACAAAATAGTCTGCTACAAGTCCACATTTAAATTGCTTCAATTTTTTTTTCTTTTACTGTTAAGGTCCAGGTTTCACAACTACAACAAATTACTCCATATGTAGCTTTTGGCAAAGTATTTCTGGTCTTAAGACTAAGAATTTTGTTCGTTAGTAGTCGTTTTACTGTGTGAAGACTCTCTTTGCCACGGTTATTCAATGTCATTTGTTAGTGTAATTCCTAAATATTTATACTGTATTACCTTACTAGTCAACTTTTTGTTATCTAATTATATGTTAATAATGGGGACTAGTATTTTTACTTACTACCATGATTTTTGTTTACTACAGGTATATAGCTTCAAAATACCATGGGCTTAACATTATCAAGCGTTTTCACTAGATTATTTGGCAAAAAACAAATGCGAATTTTAATGGTTGGCTTAGATGCTGCAGGGAAAACTACAATTCTTTATAAATTAAAATTGGGAGAAATTATTACAACCATTCCTACTATTGGTTTTAATGTTGAAACTGTTGAATATAAAAACATAGCATTTACAGTTTGGGATGTTGGTGGTCAAGATAAAATTAGACCATTGTGGCGACATTATTTCCAAAATACACAAGGATTAATTTTTGTTGTGGATTCAAATGATCGAGAAAGAGTAGCTGAAGCTGAACGTGAATTACATAATATGCTACAAGAAGATGACCTTAGAGATGCTGTTCTTTTAGTATTTGCTAATAAACAAGATCTTCCTAATGCAATGAATGTATCGGATCTCACTAATAAACTTGGACTAAATCAATTGCACCAAAGAAAGTGGTACATTCAGTCCACATGTGCTACACAAGGAAATGGCTTATATGAAGGACTAGATTGGCTGTCTAATGAGTTGGCTAAATAAGATCTATAAACTATTGCTGAATTAACTCGATAATTTTTTAAGTTCATTATTCATATATTTTAAAATATTAAATATTTTATTACTATTTATTTTATTGGTATTTTTACAATTTTATAATTATAAAATTTATAATTGTATGTATATTACCAATATACACCATAATTTTTACAGTTATTTTTCCCATACTAAAGTATACTATCTTCCTACAATGTTCTATTTTTACAATTGAAGATTTAAATTTATAAACATTCAGATTATTAAGAATTTACTGAATGAAAAACTAGTTGAACACAAGTTTAAATTATTTTATGAGTAATTATTCTTAATCATAATTTAAGATTATTTATATATTACACTCAAACAATTTTTTTCAACATTTATAGTAATAATTTAAGCATTTGGTGCTAAGTTTATGTTCAACTAATTGATTTTCTATACTAATGAAAAATGAGTAATTATCAAAAATATGCATGATAATTTTATGGTTAATATAAAAAAAATTATCTACTATGTCAACTTCTTAACTACATCATCTTTTCCCAAATCATTTACTCTTTTGTTGACATAAAAAACCTAAAATGAAAAAAACAGTTCTGTATTATGGGACATACATTTTATTATTTAATGACCTCATTATTTTATGGGAATATTATAGTTGCAGAATTTAATGCAATTATATTTTAACACAATATTATATTTGACTAATTATCTATTTATTGAATTAATAATTGGGAACTTTTTCCAGAAGAGTACAAAGCTTTAATTAAGTTATTTCTTATTTTTAAAAAGTTAGAAAATACTATTAGAACAGCACAAATATTAGGAAAACAATTGCCTGATAATGTTCAAGTAATAAATTCAACTACATTAATACAATAACGTACTCGAAATTTGTTCACAATACTTGAGAAATTTTTTTGGTCTCTTACAAAATAATATATCCACGTAATTATTTTTATAGCAAGAAATATATTCCCGTGTACTAATTTACAAATTATCATATTTCATTTATATTGCAAATATAATAAGATGTTTCACAATGATTACTTATGGAATTAATTCAATAATAAATATTGTTTTATTTAAATAAAATAAATTTAAATTTCTAAGAAAGCTTGACCTTGGCAAAGTTTGGAATTCATTTACCAGTATAATATAGTCTATAGTATCACTTCAGAAATTGTTATCACAAAATTTGACGTCAAAAAAATATAATCATGTTTATTCAAAACATTAAATTTAATATAATACCACAGACTCTAGGACTATATAATATGTGCTTAGGAAATAATAAGTTTTTAATTTAATTTAAAATGGAAGTTGCTGCGGAATTTGAACCTTTTATGAAAAACGGTTTTAAGCTCTTGCGTCGTACTAAAGATGCAAATTCTATTAAACAAATGTGGAAATATTTCGATGAAGCTATAGAAGAACAGTATGGTTCAAATCGACGTCCTACAAATGCTGCAAAAAGAATTCCTGTACCTACAGCATTAATGACAAAAGATTTGGGCAATGAACAATTTGATGTAAAACATTATTTAGATTTTATCATTTTTTTATACTTTAAGTATAATAAATTATTTAATGACTGGTTACTTAGTTTGAATTCTCAATCTAAACTAACAGAACTTTGAAATATATTAAAAATCCCCTTAGTCATTAATTTTAGTATCCTTAAGATTTTTCCTTTAATTGTTATGTAAATCATATGGATTGTGACAATTTAAAAAAAAAATATTGAACATGATGCTAAAAGATTTAACATTTAATGGCTTTCATTATTAGCCTTGCCTTTAGTTATACTACTCCACAGTTTCTTTAGGTATTCTTACTGTAAATATATAATTCTTTCTTGCAAATTTTCTTATTAATAATAAGAGTTTTCCTCTTTTAACATCAATTTACTTTTGTATTCCTTTATCATAAGAATAGGATAAACAAATTTTCGATTTATTAATATATTAAACTAAAGCTAAGCATATAAAGCTGGATACACAAAAAATTTGTATGAAAACGTATACTAATAATAGATAGTAATCAGTTTTATATACTTTAATTTTCCAAACAGATGGAGATGGGCCTCTTTCACATTTTAGAGTCAAATATGGTTCTTGGCTATAACAATAATATACAGAATGGGTATTATGACTGACTTGCACCAAATTTCAGACACCACATATGAGAAAATCAAAAGAAAAGTTGAGATGCTAGGGATTGAATCTGTAACCCGTGTGATAGAACATACGTTTCTACTCACTAGGCTATGATATGAAAACTTATAGTAAAATCATATCCTTAGCTTCATATCATAACTAAATAATTACTAGTTTTAAAAGAAAAATTTAGTTACTCCATAGCTCATACATAATTTTTCGAATACCCAAAAAATTGTGAGGTTCCCAAAAATCTAAAAGCCCAGTTCCAATATACCTGTGCACTCTTGGTAAATTAGGCACTTTCATTTTGTTTGTTGTAATGGATAAACTGATTAAATTTATGTAAAAAAAACTTTTTAACCATGTTTCATATTTCTAGGTAGGTGCTGAGGATGAGTCAAGTAGCTCAAGTTCTTCATCAAGTCCTGCTCCTAGCACTAGCAAAAATATTGTAGAAGTTTGTTCATCTCCACCCCCTACAATAACCCTTGAACAAGCTAAAGCAGATCCAGTAATAAACATTGACTCTGATTCAGATATGGAAACTGATCTAGAAGCATATTCTTGTTTTGTTTGCAAGTGTGTTATTTTTAATTTTTTAAAAATTTAACTATTTTTTAATATTTCTATTTTTAGAGAGAGTTTTGTGCACATGGGTAATAGTTTAGTTGAATGCTTGGACTGTCATTCTATGTATCACCAAAATTGCCACAGCCCTCCAATTACAGACATTAACTTAAATGACCCTAGAATAGTTTGGTATTGTAGTAATTGTCGTCAAAGAGATTCTCAAAAAGCTGTAAGTTAATTAGTATATATAATTTATAACATAATTTTTAAATATTTTCTCTAGCAGGATACTCGTACTTCAGGAAAAGATGGTAATAAAAAGAGTTCTTCTAAAAGTACAAGTGCCAAAATAGAAAAATCATCTACCAAAAGTTCACAACGTATGAAATTTAATATTATAATCAAAATATTAAGGCATTTATAAATCAAAAATATAATTAACACTATTTTTTATAGATGCAAAAGCAAGCCCAAGTAAATCAAAGTCGTCATCAGATAACAGCAGTCCTAAACACTTTCCACCTACATCTAGTACTATATCAGCAATGGAAAAACGAGTTCAAATGATGAAAAAAAAAGCAGCCAAAAAAAGTGAAAAAAAAAAATGAATTTTTAATAAAAAAAAGTAATTATAAGAAAAAAACATTAATTATAATTTGTATATAGTTAATTTTTAATAACAAGGATAACTTTTTTTTTAATAATCAAATGGTTTCCTTTCAACATCAAAATCTTTGTAACCTAGTAAAATTCTAAGTTATATATTGTTTCTTAAAATGCTACGCTACTTATCTCAGTTTTAAAAACTTAACAAGAGAGCAAAAAACTAGTTTCTATGTTATCTATCCATCAAATCTTCATTGTATTGAGGTCCCATTTTTTTATGCTTTTTCTATTGACCATGTTTGAAATTTGAATTCACTAGTGTATACTCATGTAATGAATGAAACATTGTTACTAACTCAAAATATAAATTATTTGATGTTGTATCTGAAGTGAATTTATGTTGCCCATATTGATAGGTATGTTATAATCAATTTTTACAAAATATATATTTAAATTCATAAATTTATTTATTTTTTGATAATGTTCGCTGTTTTTCAGCAAACTGAACAATTTTTTCTTCTACTGATAAACCTTTTCTTTTTCGGACTGCGTTCATATAGTTTAAAGCTCTATTAACAGAATCAGCTTTTTCTCCATATAACTCTAATTCTTCTTCAGTATTTGGTACCCAAAATGGATCAATATCAATTATCTTAATTTAAAAATAATGTTGCAAATTACTAATAACATTTTAAATAAAAGAAATAATTATAATAAAACTTACTTCCCAATGACTAAATACCAATTGTGGACTAGCTAATCCAGATGTTTGTTTGCGAATTTCTGGAGAAAATGAGAAACTTTCTACTACTGGTAGTAAGGCAGTAATATTAAAATTTGATGCTGATCCTTGTGTCATGTCTGCACTTATTACCCGTCCATGACGTCTACCCAATACTGCATACATTTTACCTAAAAAATACATCTATAATAACTATAATAGAGTATATGTTAATAGTTCTGTATTTTCTAAAATGTAAAAATAATTATAGCAAAAATACATTTAGTTAATTGAAAAAAATATAAGTTCTAACAACTTTTTAATGAGAATTTATATATTCTAGTAATATAAATATTAAAACTTTAATAAATGTTAAAATTTTCATTTACACTTTTGTTTTACAAGTAAAAATCAATTTTCAAAAGAAATGAGTAAAACATTTAAATATTAGATATTTTAAATATCTAAATTCCTTAAAAATACTGTATAATCTATTGAACAATTTTACAACCTAAAACTTCAACATTAGCTTGGATAGAACAAGTATACATAGCTGCCATAAGCCTTTGTGGTTGAGCTTGAAACGCTTTTCGACATCCATCTTTAACAGCTGACATAATTTGTCCTGACATAGGTCCATATGGATCACTAAAATATAAAATTTATATTTTTACTTTTTTCTTCTAAAATTGCATACATTTCATAAAGCTACTTGGCAATTTGTTGAGTTGTATCAATAGTCCAATCTTCTACTACAAAGCAAACACCCATCATTGGTTCTTCACATAACGGCCCTGCTACTGTTGCTATTTGAAAACCATTAACAAAACTATTTTCATATTTGGTCAACACATCATCTAAAATAGTTTTTTGATTCCACACAGATTTTTCATATTCTACAATACAAATACAATTTTTTAAATATATGTTCTGTTAAAAATTAATTATTTTCAATTAAAACATAGGATAATGAATAATCATTAAAATATCATATTGAATAATATTATCATATATTTCTTACTGTAATATTATACTCATTTATCAATCATTTATAACTAACAAATTTTTTATAAATATATAAATACACAGAAAAGTTACTTGGTATTTTATTTAATAGAATATTTGGTCCACACTTTTTAGGACCAAATGCCCAAACTTGTGAGATATCATAATTATTTCCAAGTGCTTCTTTAAGTTGCAAACGAAATATATCAAAGGCTGAATTTATACTTTTAGAAGTTGATTCTTTGATTGTTAGACATTCTAAAGCATCACAAATATTTTCTGCAGGCCGTTCAGTTAACTCTTTAATAATATCAGCATTTTTTTCTAAAAATTCAGTAACTTTTAAAGGCAATGGTTCTGCACGTAACTTAATGCAGCAAAGATGATTAGCTGTATATATATTAAGTAATCCAGTCAAATTTTCATCTTGATCATTTTTCTAAAATATATAATATATTTATAGTAATTCATATAATATTGATAAAAAATTGTAGCTAGAAAAATGCTGAACTCCAAATTACTAGTTTTTAAAAAAATCCCTATTACAGTGTTGATTGAGTTTAAAATATTATTTGATATATTTGAACTATATATTAAAAAGTTATCAATAAAGTTAATAAATATGATAATTTGTAAAAAAAAGAAACGCTACACAATATACATTTATATTTATACTGTATTAAATATTATAATTACTATTTTAAAAATCAAGTTTTCTTAAATATGACTCAGAGAGCAAATGGACAAGGAATTTAATATATGGAAAATTAAAATTAAATCTTGTGTGAAACCAGAAAAAGAAAAATTTTAATATAAGAGTAATAATTTTAAAATATTTATAAAAATTTAAATAATTTCTTGCTATCAAATAAAGTTTTTATTAATAAAATAAATTCATAAATACATCTTAATACACTTTAAAATCATTGATAATTATAAAAAATTAACCCTATATTAACTTTATTTTATACTTTGAAATAATCATAGACACAAATTAGAGGGACCTATCCTCTGCAAAGCTGAGATTTCTACTTTTAAAAAAAATTTAGAATACATAGTTTTCAATACATTTTCAATGATTATTGCATTGATAACTTTAGAGATTATAAAATAATAATAAATTATTATTTATTAAATATTTTTAAAAGGTAAAAATAACCAGCAAAAAAACCAACTATCACAAAATCTTATCTCTTCAACTTAAAGTTCGAAGTTTAAAATCAAACCTTTTAAGTTGTTGCAATTTTGAACTAGGGTGTTGATTTATTATTCAATATACAATTTTTTAATAATAGTATAAATGAATTTTATTTTAGTAAAAAAAAGAAAAAATGTTATACAAGGACTATATGTATATTTTACATCACAAATTTAAGAAAATATTTGGTAATGTTCAAAATATGGTTTTAGTTGTGAAGGTGTTGTAAAGACACCTTAACAAAAACTGATCCTATCATCTTAAATGACCAAAACTATCCTAAAAATAAAAGTAAAGTTTAATTCATCTAATATGTAGCTGAAATGAAGGTAAACTATTAATTACAGTAAATATTATTGTAATTTGATACAGCTACAAAAAAATTGAAGAAAATGATTTAACAGGCATTTATCATATATAAATAAACATGAGGCGCAATACAATGCAATAATAATCTATTAACACATTTTTTGGATATTACTTTTCCTATAGTATTTTATTAATTGAATATTTTATCTCCGGACGTTTTTTCCTACATTCTTAAAAAGTATAGTATTTGGAACTACAGGTATAATGAATAATATAATTTTAAAAGCTGCTAAAGGATAACATTATTCAACTCAGAATAGGTAAGGAAAAATAAAAAATTAAGTTTACTTGACTATCAATAACTTCATTAGCCATGTCTATTTTAGGTAGAGGCACAATTGTTTCTCGGAATGGTACAATTGGTGCTGAAGCATTAACATCAACTTTAGCATACCTATACATACATTTTAATTATATGATTTTAAATAAATAAAAAAATTACAAATAATTACCTATCACGTAAATCTTCAATGCACTTTTGAAGATGGACTTCTCCTGCAGTAACAATTACATGCTCTCCAGTTTCTTGCATAATAACCTAAATTTTATAGTATATAAAAGTAATTTTGAGTTATATAAGAAAAAAAATCTATATTACATGATAAAATTTTATTTTAATCTATTTGTTGACAGTCAAAAATTGATTAATACTGTTTTTAAATAATACATTTATTATAAAGCTATAATTAATGATAAATAATCTATAGAAAATTCTAAAACCAATTAAAATTCAGTACTAGTTTTTTAAATAAATTTGTCATAGTAATAGTTTTTTAAAATATAAACAAAAAAGTAATTAGAAAAAACTTTTATCTTAAGAATACATTTTTCCATAAGTCTTAAAAAAAAAATCTGAATTTTTAAAAAAAGATGAATTCTCAGAATGGAAATTATATTTCATTTAAACAAAACAAAAATGGTGATTATAATGATAAAATAGAGCTAAAATCAGATTCAATTAATGTCCATGTAATATTTGCTAATGACAAAAGCATCATAACAAGTTTTTCTACATGGAATTCAATTTTAGATGTAAAGCACTATATTTTTCCTTTTTTAAAAAACTATATAAAAAATATTCATCAAATAGTTTGTTTTATATGTGAAAATAATCAACAGTTAGAGGTTCATGATCATATGTTGTTAAAAAATTATTGGATTAACCAAATAATTACCATATTTGTAAAAATTATACCAGTGACTGAAGAAGAAATATTACATTATACAAAAAACAAACATTTTCATAAAAGTGTGCATCCAGAAAATGGTTATTTACTAAGTTCCAATTTTTTAATTCCAAGGAATGCTGTAGGATATATAAACAAAAAAACAAGAAAATTCTACAAAAATACTCAAATACAAACGGATACATTTATAATTACAAATAATACTAATGATAAAATAACTAAAACATCTGAATGTCAAACACTAACAAATAGAAATGTTAGTACAGAAGTTTGCATTGAAAAAAATACTCAGACTGAAAATTTAAATATTTTTAAAACACTACACTCATACAGAGAACTAAGTAATTTACATTTAGTAATATTATTAACTATTTTATAATATAATAAGTAATAAAGAAAAATTTATCTTTAAAATAGAATAATAAAAAGATCTATATTGCCATAATATTTTTTAATTGAAATAAATAAAATCAAGTTTGAACAATGGTTTCTTACAACTATACTTCCTTCTTATTCCCAAAGTATAAATTATGCTCCAGACAGTAATGGCTCTTTTTCACATGTTAGGGAGTCAATGATGGTTCTTGGCTAGCCAATGATGGACGGAACGGGTATTATGGGCAGCTTGCACTAGAGACTAGACACCACCAATGAGTAAATCACAAGAAAAACGAGATTTTTCTTGTTGGGGATCAAATCCGGGATACTGTGCGCTAAAATATATGTTTCAACCCACTTGATTCTCATCAATGAAAATCAAGGATCAGTATTTTTAATAATATTAAAAAAAAAATGTAGAAACATATCCATATAAAATGTAATAATCGTAATTACAAAATTATAATTATTGTAAGTTTTCCTCAAAAAGCATCATAGAAATAAAAATAAAATTGAACTGTTGAGAATTTATTGTTCAAAACTAAAAACTTATATATTTACTTAATTGATTAGTGAATATAAATAAAGAGGCATATTACTCAATTAACTAGTGAATTTTATTTTTTTCAGTACCTTATAAAAATAATTTTAACAAGTCAAACCCAAAAGTTAACTATGAAAAATATGCAATAATTATACAAACAAATATCCGAAAATGGTTAGCAAGAAAAAAGTTTGAACGTATGTTAAATTATTACAATTACCTAATTAATTTCATAATTAAAGAAGAAAATGATTATCAAAATCAACTAATAATAAATGAACAATCACATCTATTGAACTTGAAATACCCAACTAAAGTAAAAGATTTTGAAGCACTTTATTCAGCTATAAATGATAGCTCTATTAAAAACAAAACCAATCTTAAATGTAAACTACCTGTATTTGCTAAAGCTGAAGGTAAACGATTTTTGGATAAAGAATTAGAATGCTTAAAAGAAATAACAAAACATAGAAATAGATTAAATGCAATTTCAAAAGAAAGGAAAATTTTGAAATTATTGGATCAAATAACTAAACCAGTTACAATAACACCCAAATCAAATGGTTATGTGATTTCCATAGATAACCCCATAAAATGTCAAGGAAAACAATTGAACAAGTATTATATAGCCTTAAAAAGTAACCATCAAAGTAAAAATGACAGAATTAAATTACTTCTTGAACTTATAGAAATTTTGAAAAAATATAAAGAACCAGGTATCACAAGCCCTTTAATAAATTTATTAAACAAAGAATTAGATATGTTAGATCTATTACAATTAAAAAAATGTGAATTACAAAATTTAAGAAAACTTATTGAAGTAACATTTAGAAGTATATTACTAAAACCAGAAATAAATCCTGCAATCACATTACAAAAAAAAATACCAAAGCACTTTAACTGTTTTAATTGTAGAAACTTAAAACAATTAGAAAAATTTACAATAAATTTAAACTTGAAGAGTTTTACAATGTGTAAAGATTGTAACCATTTAAAACGAATTGCAATAGATCGTATTAGTTTATTGCCATATGATATTATGTTAAAAGATCTTAAAATGAATGAAGCTAAACTTTGTACAAAATCTAGTATAGTGTTCTTATTGTCAACAGAAGATGTTTACTACTTAGCAACAGTTATATGGAAAGGAAAATCTGCAATTAGTGAATCTAACAACTTGCTAAATTTAAGACTAACTCGTTGGTGTAGTAATCATGATTGGTCACCATCAAATACAATATTATTAACCATTAGAGAAGCTTATGATCATTTAAAAATTAACGATTTAAAAAAAATATATACTTCTAGTTTTATAGAAAAAGTAAATATAAATCATATAACAGCAAAAAAATATTTTAAAAATTTAAAACTAAAATCTATAAAATTAGATCAAAATATATTTAAAAAAGTAAAAACACCATAAATTTATGGACATAATTACTACAGTAAATGATTTTGTTACAACTTAATGATTTGTATTTCATTTGAATTGTTTATTTATAAAAGGAATAAAGTCACGTTTTTTAATTAATAATTTCTATGGCCATAGACATATTGTTAACATTTGAAAAAATTAAAATTTTTATGATAGTTCATGGATTTATATATGTATTTTTTTTAATAAGATAATATAATAAATATTGCGAAAATAAAACTTAACTATTGTGCCTAATAATTATTAAGAAATCATAATACTATATATATTGGCATAGAAGTTTTGGTTAACATTGCCTAATTATACACATTTAAGTTTATTATTTGTTAATTTTATTTACAAAAATAATGAAGTATTTCATTTATAAATAAAAAGGATCAAATTTATTAAATTAAATTAAAACTCTTACCAATGATTTAATTATAAATTTGAGAAATTGTTATTTTTTTGGCCTTGCCTTTATCCCATCCCAACTACTTAGGGTCGACCATCCTTATCTTAAACTTCTACTTGACAGTCTCCCACATCACCAGTCTTCAAATTACAATCATTAACATCCCTCCAACTCTTTTGTGGTCTTCCTTCAACATTAATTTCTATAACTGTTCTTACAGCATCTAATTATTCTCTCTTCATAACATGATCAAACCATCTAAGTCTATTTTTTTTCATCTTATCTACAATTGACGCTACACCTATACTCCCTCTTGTATGCTCGTAATTTATCTTATCTACTGTAGTCACTCCACTTATTCATCTAGCATTCTCATCTCTTCTACACTCATTTTCTATACTATTCTCTTGTCAATAGTCCAACATTCTGAACCATTCATCATAACTTGTCTTACTACAGTTTTATAGAACAAACCTTTCAGCTTTATTCAAATTCTCTTATCGCACAATACACAAACGCTTCTCTCCACTTCGAACAACCATACTTAATCCTATGTCCTACATTCTCATCAATACCACCGTTTTTCTTTTGCAAAACTGATCCTAAATACTTAAAAATTACCACTTCTCCTTTCACATCATCGTTTATTGTCACTAATTTCCTCATTTCACCTACCTCGTGTTCTCCTTTATTAAATTTATACTATATATTATCTGTCTTACTCCTACTTAATCGTAATTCTTTTCCTAAAGAACTGATCTTCACACCTCATAATTTCCTTCTGATTTTCTCTTATTAATACTACATTGTCAGCGAACAATAAGAAATTGTTATTTACCTATTTAAATAAATATAATGAATGAAAATAAAAAATAAAAAAATATCAAGTAAATCTGTGTGTAAAAATAAGTTTTTTTAATCTTTAAAATTTTAAAATTTTTAGACTGACTAAACGCTGTTAGTAAATAAACAATTTATTAAGGTAACCTGAACACATGCATCTGCTTGATTAAGAAGTTTTAATCCTTTAACAACTTCTGGTAAATCTGCCGAATGTTTTGGTTCTATAGCAACTCTCATTATTGGTGTTGCCATTACTTTTATTTCGGTAAATGGAGGACAAGCTAAAATTGTTGACAGAGTGGCACTTTTTAAAATATATTGCTCTAAGTTACCAGCACCTATTGGACAAAAATTAACTCAATATTTTTTAATAATATATAACTAGTGTTTATTATTCATCATACCAAATATATTACCAGCTGGAACTTCTTCTACAGGTTCTAAATCACGCCCCATCAACATATATAGATCAGATATAACTACTTTCATTACATGCTGATCAGCTTTCAATGTAGATAATGTGCATTTTTCATCAAATTCAATATCCTTTTTAAATATATTAAATAATATTTTTAAAATGGATGATTAACATAATGGAAACAAATTTTTTTAAGTACTTCGCTTTTAATTTTTGAAGGATCATGTTTTGGTCCCAAAACATAAATTTCTTGACCAACTCGAATAGTTCCACTGTAGACTCTTCCAAATGCTATAAACATAATATCATTTTCATTAAATACTGGTTTTACAGTTGCCAAATCATTCTCTTCGGTTTTGGAAGATTCAATTTGTAAGTTCAAGACTTTAGATTCATTGTTTCTCAAAGCATGACGAATTCTTGCTTGTTCTCTTCGTAGTGCAATCTCTTCAGCAGATAAAACTTTTGGTCTATTTTGAGGTAAATGTTTGCGTTTAATCTAAAATAAACATACTTTATAACTACATAAAAATACCATATTAAATATCTTTAAAAATAAACAAACTGGAAACATTTTTGAAATAAATGCAACAACAGGAACTGATTCATTATCATGACAACATTGTAAAAAAATTTTTTTCAAAGCTATAGTTTTTTCTGGCATAAGACTAAATTCTTTCATTGGGGGACATAATAACTTTTCAATTTTATTCTCAGTTAATTTGTTTGGCGCTGGGCAAATTTCACAAACTGCATCTATTAATTTTAAAATATTAAATTCTTAATTAGTTTTTCTTAAATAATTGAGCAATTAAAAATATATAAACTAATTTTACCTAAAACAGATGTTGCTAATGGTATCCATTGTGATAAAAAAGATTGTAACAATATTCGAGTATCAGTTTGTCGAAGATCTCTGCTATTTAAAGTAACATTCATACTATCAGCTATTTTTATTAGACGATTTTTATCCTAAAATATTAAAAAAAAGTCTTAAATGATCAATATTAAATGCATCAAATATCATAAAAAGTTGACTTCAATCATCAATCAAAGATCAAAGACTTTACAATAATATAATTCAAAATTATCAAGTTCCATAAAAAAAAAAAAAAAAAAATTAACTAACACCTTCTACATAAATTTGTTTAATCCTTATAAGGGTAAAAATATAAAAAATAAATAAAGATATATTTTTATTTATACTGTTACTCTTCTTTTTCATTGAGTAAGAGCTTCAAGAACTAGGTCATTAGCTAATTCTTATTTATTATTAATATTTTTAAATTAACAATTACGATTTATTATTGAGTCTCCAGTACTGACAATCACTTATATTATATACTTTTAAATAATACATTTTTACATGATTATAAATTAATCAACACAATTCAATTTATTCTTAGCGTCCGCAATTAACATTTATTATAGTAATTGCAATTTATAATTAATTTTTTTTAATAAATAATTCAAGGTATATATACAAATACATAAATAAAGAAAAAATGTAATTACTTTTTGATTAATAATAATATCATAAACAAGCCAAATATTTTCAATAATCATCTGAACAAATAAAGGTTTTTTGGCTTTTTCCTGAGCTCCTTTCAATATTCTTTTAGTTTTTAAATTTAAATAATAATCTCCCCACAAAGTTTTTTTCAATGTTGTTAAACTTATACCTAGCTTAGTAGATAACATATTCGCAAATTTTTCTATACTAAAATAGTTTGAAAATATGTAGTTATATAAAATATAATTAAATATAACAATTTAATTCATAAGTAACTAATAAATAATATTTGAGAACAAAACATACTTGAAAGCCCAACCATCTGCAGCAGATGCAAACAAAACATTCCCTTGATGAGGTGAGAAATACAAATCAGAATCGTCAGCCATTTCAATAGCAGTGCTCCATTCATTATACAAATCTTCGCCAGTCTGAAATTCTTTATTTTCTTTTGTATCTGTTTCTCTTTCAAAAACATCATTCGTAAAAAGCTCCCCAACTACAGCGTTAACCTAAATAATACAACCGAAAAATTCATAAATAAAATTATTTAATATTTGTTTAAAAGTAAAAATATTATAATACTTATTACATATAAACTTTTAAAAATAATTCCAATCTTCAATAAAAGAGTGGCTTTATGGTATATAAGATATTTTTCTTATGAAAACTAAAAGTTATACACCCTTTTATATTGTTTGAACACAAAAAAAAGAAGTCCTACAAACTTTAGTTAAGGTTTATCAAATCTAACATATGCAGTAAGGAGATAAAAAATTAGACAAATGGGGTGGTTTTATGATTTTGTGAATTTTTCTTGAAAAATATCGGTCTTGTATTAAATTGAATAGAACTTTTTTCACTTTAAATTTTCTACAACAAAGATGACAATATATATATATTTTAGCTTCGATGCGAAGCTGAGAAGGTATTAATTTTACCATGATGTGTTTATTTTTTTTTTTATTTTTTTAGCTTCGATGCGAAGCTGAGAAGGTATTAATTTTACCATGATGTGTTTATTTTTTTTTTTATTTTTTTAGTTT